TGTGGCAGAAAGCAAAGCAAGAGCATGTCTCTGGCTAAGAACTCCGGTTAGATCTTCTGCGCCGACGACTCCTTATAATAACGACAGAGAGAGACAACGACTCAAGAAAGTGAGATCAATGACTCTTGGCGGCTGCGTCCCGCGTTTGGTTTCATGTAGCAGTTTCACTGAGCGGCGACGGAAGATGATGAGTCATGTACCCATTGACGTCCAACGCTAAAACAGACAAAAACCTAATACTGTTAAATTACTATACATTTGTTTTCTTAATTTGTCCCTTTCTTGTTGGCTTTTTAAAGGATCGAACAATGTTCTCTTTTCAGCTAATAATGCTTATACAAGTTGTAATGCATTCTTTTCTGTATTATCATAAGATTATTTGTAATTGCATTCACTCAATATGTGTATAGTTGTATAATTTCTGACATTAACTTTTAAACTTAAACCAAAGAGTTGGTGGCCTAGTGATAACATAATGGAATTGGTTTTTTTGTGCATTAGATTCAAATTTCTTTTGAGACGGAGAGTTTTTTCTTTAAATCGAAATATTCAATGTCTCCGGATACTGAAGAGATTATGAATCAAAGATTCGGAACTCCCACGATTTATTAAAAAAAAAAGTTTTAAACTTAATACTAGTATTTGTTAATTAATAGTACGTACTATATTATTTAAAGTAATGTTTATTTTAAAAGAAAAGTTTATAGGTTTACATCGGAAATTGCGTTTTTTGTGAGTTATTTTTGAAATTGACTCAACTAATTTATTGTTTTCGTCTGGAAATAATTTCCATAACACTATATATGTTTTGATTTTGACGAGTCAACATTTACTCAACATGGTTACAACAGAAAAAAAAAACACAACCCAAAATATTTTGTTTACATAAATTAATGTTTCGTACATATCTTAATTCAAATCAACAGAGCGTGACTTTTAATTAGATTAATATTATAAAATGATTTTGTACTATGCGTAAAAATCGTATAACACCGTATTTTTAATGGGAAACTTCAATGTTAGAAAAGTTCTTCAAAATTAGTTCATACAATTTAGATTAAGACAATTGATGGACGTAAATACAGGATCTAATTC